AGGAAATTAACAGTAAATCATGAGGAGAGTTAAAGAAAGGCTTACGGCTAGATTGAACCTTGGGCAGTTAGTAACACAGGATGGCACACGAAGGGCAGCGTGCTATCGGACAAATTAAGCGGGAAAATTGTTCAGTTCAAAGTGGAACAAAATTTCAACAAGTCCATGGATGAATGTAAACAAGTCGTCTATAGAAATGGTTGTGGTAGAGTCGGCTTTGTATAAACTAGAACGGTTCAGTCTTGAAACTTAAGCAGTCACGGAAGGGTGATGAACTAGCCTGAGGAATAGGGAAACAAATAATTACGTCACGTAATTAACACTGGCAGTGGCGAAAATGGAACTTACGTTCTCGGTGGGTCGCACGAATTTCCCGTACGAAACAAGACTGTCTGCGTGTGTGCTGAAAGAATACCAAACAGATTACCATACAATGGTTTTGAACGGACTTATCACTATGTCAAAAACTAAAACTGTCATCAAAGACCACCTGGACTGTATTTTTGTGGGAGCACTTTTCTGCGTTTAGATATTTATTGGTAAAGTCAATTATACAGACATAGGGAGATAAAGGTCTGTTGCCGGGTAGATGCAAATTATTTTTTCAACGACATAACTCTGAGTCACTTTATGAGAATGATGCGCTTGGTTGTACATGAAGATTGAACCGCACCACTTTGTTTTATTTGACACTTTAGTTGCCAAAACTGTAGAAAAGTAGGTTTTGGGTTACCTGAGCTTTGACCTGATTGTTGCCGCTGCAACTGTGTCTGCTATTCCGGCCACACGTTTCAACTTCCTAGGTCTTTACTGGGACTGCTCAAGGTCATCCGCCAAGCAATAATTTACAAACACTGAATAGTACGCATTTTACTCAGGTCCAGTCTTGACTATTCACAACAATAACGGAGGGGTGAGTAGAGAAAGGCATAGGATGTGTTCAGGAGCTTGTATATTCTGAATAAAACTTTCACAAAATCTGCTCAGCAGCACACTACGTGGTAATAATTACAAATCCAGAAATGACCAGGAACACGAAGATTCAAAATACGCATCTGTACTCACAATAAGACAAAATAATCAGGATTGCCCTTCAACTCGTCCAATCTCGACAGTTACATTTGGTGCCGACCTGGCCACTGTTTCCGTTCCAAAGATCAAATGTCGATATTTCAACAATTTTTCCGAGACAATCTTGCGAAATGTGGGATTTGAGGCCATGTACACAAATGCATTTAACGTAGAATCCAAATAAATCAGTATGTTGGCAATAATAGATAACCACGAGTCTACAACAGGATAGTTATTTTCCAGATACGGGCGGAGAATTTTACTGAAAAACGAGGGCGTTTCGAAAATGAAGAAACACACACAGACGGCAAATATGAGTTTATCTCCGGAAGGGGGTGGTTTTGGGGGCACATGATAGTTGACGGGTTTGCTTATTGATGAAAATCGAGCGTTTTGGATTGAGTCATTTCCCCTCTCAGAAACCTCACTTATCGATCTTTGGTTCAGTAGACGCAACGCTGATTTTTCCTCTTTTTCTCTTTGTAGCTGACGACGTTTTACAATCAGACGAATGATGAAAGCATTGAGCACGCAAACACAGATAACCGGGCCACCAGCTTGCACGATAAACATAACAACACCGAGGTAGGCAATTTGATAAATATGATTATCTGATAAAAGCAATTTGACCCCGGAGAATAATCCAGTTCTGTGGCATATAATAATGGCAGCTTCGAAAGCACGCGGAATAACCAATACGCAAGAGCAACCCACCACGGCAACCAGTATGCTGCAAATGCGTTCATCCGTAAATGCCGATCCGCTGCCGATTGGTCGGCACAGTCGATCGTAGCGATATGCAGCCAACAGAACGACAGACCAATTCCGAGCCACTTGAAAGGCTAATAGACAAAGACTAAACCAAATACTGAGAACGAATATGGAAGTATGTTTTACGTAGTTTCGATGGCGGTCGGTGTAAAAATCAAGGGTTGTATTTCCCACAGGAATGCTCTCTCTTAGGTCAAAATGGGTTTGCAGATGACTTGAACAGTTATCCAACAATGCGTAAGCAAAAAGCGATATTCCCATGCAAAGCTCGATGACCGAAAGTCCCCTCAGTAGTCGACTCATTGTTGATTTTTTCCACAGTGGATGAGTGAAGATGAGTACGCAGATTCCATTTAAGAATGCATTGAGGGGCCCCAACGTTAGGCTGATAATTCCATGCGACAAACGCAGTTTGTCTGGAGGATGGGCAGGAGCTGGCTGGCAGGAGATGCTCTCATTCAGAATGATGATTGAGTAGAAGGATTCGGTCTGTTGCATAACTTTAAAAACAAGTCACTGGGATCACCGTCTAATTCGTAGCAGGTGCGGTTTTGCTTCCATGTTGTTGCTGGTGATTCTGGCTAGATTATGCGAGAAAAGGAAGAGAGGTGCGTGAATAACTAATAAATAAAGATAAGCTACTCAACATTATTTCCAAATATTCGTGATAGCTTCTATTCTCCTCTGAACAATTTTGTTTCTTCATAGAAGAGGGAGTATGCTTACGGTTCTACTTGAATTGATTACAAAGACCACGAAATTCGGGAGGAACGTCGCATAGTTGCACAACAACGTGCTTCTGTGATGATAAATATAAATAGTTTATTGCCAAGCACACCAATCGATATTTTGTACTGCAATCGAATTCAATCTGCGCCAAAAGGCGGAAAAGCCCTGTTGTGAACCATCAGCCTGGAACAGATATGGTTGACATAGCGACCTTTCACTGCTGGTTGAGGAGTGAACCTCTTGGTCATGAGTGGCCAATCACAAGTTTAATTGAGTGGCACCCGGACGAGATGTCGCTCTACGGATCCTTCATTTCCCGAACTCGCAATTCGGAGGAATGTTTTTTCTTTGTGTGAACTGACTTTCCTTCTGAGGCAGTCATGAATGTAATACATGCATCAGAATTTCAAGCGTCCCAGTCTTATCATGGACTGTTTTTATTTTCTGTGACTAAGAACATAAAGAAATTCAGTGATAGATTAAAAGACTTTCGCCGACCGACATAAGTAATCCCGTTCCTACATTTGTAAAACGCCAACGACGCTGATTCTGCTCGCTGTCGTATGATAATCACCTATGTCTTATCGTTTTGGAAGGGTATGAAAAACGTATCGTTTTTGACACAAATGAATATGTTACAAATTTGGCCGGATTGTGACGCTGACGAAGAACTGGTTAGCATGGCTTCTTTTGAGTAATACACTCGATCGGCATCGAATATCAGTAAAACATTCTTGTCAATCAGTATGTTTGGCCTAACGTATGGCTGATGAGCTGGGGGAAATTCAACTCCTTTCAGATCAAGTTCGGGTCCTTGATCTTTCGATTGCTGACTCACCTTGGTACAGCTGAAGTTTTTGTTGGTTTTTGCAGGCTTGTAAATGCCACGTCAATTTATATAAGAGCAGTAGTTTGAGATCACATGAAAACTTTGGTTTCTGCTCGGTCTAGACACTTCAAATATAATTTAACTCTCATGAATCAAACTATTCACTAGGTTGCTGAAAACTCTTCGACCTTGTGAGTAGTTTCATTCATGGAAATATACTGCGTTACCTGTGCAGCCATTCAGCTGAAGAATATCATAAACGACAGATTCCTTCGAGTTTCCCATGTAAACCAAAATGATTTACAAATAAGTGTCATAATTTAACTCTGCTGGTGGCTCCGGTTCGCTGATAAGCTCTCACCACCACTTGCCAGTTTGGCAGATCTAGAACTGATCTCCCTACGCCCGCCAGGTCTACGCCTTCTATTCGATTCACACTGAGGGTCCTGTAAATTTCCACCGTATTGGCCATCAATCTCTGTGAGGTGAATTGATAGTTCCCGCCACGAACCTCAACGTTTTCCAATTTTATTTTTACTTCCGTGTCTAACACATATCCCGCAATAGCTGCGTCTTTCGGCAGTGCTCGATAGTAACCTGTTTCTCGGTATTCTATTTATTTTTATCGTGTGCTGACACATTCTAGTGTGAAGTTCTTCGCCCGTCTGTTCTATGTAGCTGTCAGCATGGCCGTTGCTTCTAATTGTGTAGATACTCCATTGTTCTATTCCATGAAAGACAGTATTTTGATCGGTTCAATTCAGAGTGCAATTTTGATCTTTTGGGTTCTACTTGCATGCTGGTTGTGTTTAGCATCCTTCGGATAGCATAGAATATCCGTAGTTTTTATGTAATAAACGCAGTATTAGTCCATTCCCTGTTGGATTACACCACTGATAACAATAGCCTACTCAACCGGCACTTAATCACATTAGCTGGATAACCCGTGTTTTAGTTCAAATTTCTGTCCGATCAACTTCTTCGGTACATAGGCCCATATTCAGCTAAACAATTATAAAGGAATCCCACCGAGTGCCGGTTTCCGATGGGCATACGAATATTTCAAAGTCTATCTAGCGTCAGTTAGCCCCGTATTTTTAGTTCTTCATTGTCCTCATACGTCATGTGATCTAAGAAGGGTAGTGTACATTAAGTGATCTCTATCTCCATAAAAACTGTTTGGGATTCAGGTCAATCAGACTGTCGTGAAACTCAGAGATTGGTATAGAAATCCAGCTATGGCTTTCTGTTTAAAATATTCCTTGAAAATAATCAATAAAATCAAGGATGCTAGAAATTCTACCGTTAGACTTTGCTGCTGAGCGTAAACCATGTAACAGGAAACTGAGTGCGATTCGGGCTCGCCTCTTGCATCTATCATTTCATACTGTAAACTGTGTTCACTATGAACCGTTAGTGTCCGCTTGTGGCACTTTCTTGATTGTTAATAAAGAATGTTCCTCTGGCTCACATGTATAAAACTTTCATAAGTATTTCATGTGCTTTACGAACAGCTTTGTTATTTTGTGAGGGAAGCTATTTTAATTTCCAATGTGAGTATCCGGCTTTTTGATGAGCGATCTGAATATACCCGCGAAGAATCTGACAGGCTCATGGAGCGGTGGAGCTACTTGGTCAGTAAACGGTCTCATGGAGACATATGCCTTACGGACTTTTAGGAAGCCGTAAATTTGTAGATTGAATGTAAATTTAGAGTGCAATAAATACCACTAAACGTGTACTTAATGGTTCATCACTAAACACATGGGTAGGAATTATTTCATTCTTCGGTATGTTCCCTTTAGTTACCGATATATTCAATTGAATGTAATTTAGAGTGCCATAAATACCACTAAACGTGTACTTAATGGTTCATCACTAAACACATGGGTAGGAATTATTTCATTCTTCGGTATATTCCCTTTAGTTACCGATATATTCAAAAGCTTTCCTAACAGACAACGCTCTCGTTTGATCGGCAGCTTACAACAAAAACATAATAAAAGCATCAAGGTCTGCATCAGACAGAAGGGCAGAGCAGCTTACATCAAAGTCTGTGAGTGCAGGTGAACAAAGAGTAGGCTGCCGAGCAATGCTGATGAACGTCGAGTGTTGCTGGGAGACTAGACAGTACAAGACACACCATTCACAGGGCAAAGAAACGAAATTGAAAAATAACGAGATTTTTGGGCAAAGACGACAATTTTATGCCGGAGTCTTCGTTTTTATGATCTAATTCAGTTCCTGCTGGTGTTATCCTTAGATCAGGTTTGCCGCTGTATGACAAATTATAATGCCCGAGAAACTGAGCTTCATGGCAAAATTAGCGTAAAACGAATATCTACGTTTGCGAGGAAATAAACCGTTCCCGTTAAGAGGGATACATTGGGATAGAACATATGATTAAACATTAGTGAGAGGATAAATTGAATTTTCGTTCTCTTGCTTGTTCTAGTCGTAACAGTCATTCCTCAGGATAATGTCTCTCCGAGTTGAACTACTTTTGCCACTAACATTTTAAAGCCTGGGATAATACCTCAGTCAGGAATCACAACAGTTCAAATCAAACAAACCAGACAACTTGGAGTTGTGGATGGACCAGCGGAGTGAAATGTATTTGCAGGCAAAGAATATGCCCAAGCGCCTTTACATTTCCTACTAGTATGACCTCTCGGGGAGTTTCTTCTCCCGCAATCCGTCGCTTAGCTGTACCTATCCTTCCAGTTTAAGAACGTGCAAAGCAACTCCGATTTTATCCACGTTTGTCTGAGTAGAAAAACTGGCCAATGTACGGGAACGAACTTTGTCAATGAAAATACGTAATCTGTCAAAACCGTAAGGAATTCGTTAGGTGACCTTGGAAACGTTAAAAGCCATGAATTTTTGCCCACAACTTCCTACTTACGTTTCTGGTTTGGTTTTTCTTAGTGGAAAAGACACCGCACTAGTTTCATTATGGAATATGTGTGGTCATCCTTCAATACACGGGTTGAAGAGCCCAGCATTATATGTATCGATAACAAGGGCAATGTACCAAAAATTTTACATCCGTTAAACTGATACACAATCTACTGCATGAATTCAATATACATTTTAATTTGTTTAGTTTTAGTTTTTCAGAGCTATATGATAACAAAGTCGGCCACTTGTCACACACAGCTAGCCTAATTCATAATTCAAATGAACAGCGGCAAAGCGTTTGATTTTGCGACCAGTAGACCAACCATTCCACCAGATCCACGGCTATCCCATTAAAACTACAGTGTGATCAGTAGGCCTTATGCGAATAACGGTGCTCTACAATTATTACATGGTCCGTATATAGGTTGGTTTCGTTCCAGCCCACGCACTTTCAAGATAAATCAAGGGAGGGCAAGAAACCGCCGCGGAAATGAAAGTTCAGACAGAATTATTCAAAATACTATTTTCTAGTACGAGTTCGCCATTCGCACTAGTACAAGATTAGACGGTTTCGTTTATTCATGAATCGGAAGATGTTGATAAAGAGAAGTAGCCGTGGTAATACATTAGTACAGTGTACAGCTACCAGTTTTAACTAGCCCTCTTGGTGTTTCCTACAAACGAACCGAGGTTTATAATGTGCCGGTATCCGCACTACCAACTGCAACACTGGCTAAAGCGTCTCACTAAGAAATGCACTTGGCTGGCGCAACCGAGTATCTTTGAAACTAAGAACGGACCAAAGAAAAGTCATGGACCTTGCCTACATGATGACCCCCGAGAAAGACAGTCAGTCGTCAATTCTTTAAGAGCTTACAACAAAATAATAATGTGTGGGTCCCTTCATAAATGTACCCAACGTCCATTATTACAGTGCCATTGCAAGTTCTTTGTACTATGATCAGGTGCACTGAACAAGACCTGCACTCCAAAGTCCCATGAACTCTAATAATTTACAGCGGTATAGTATCATAGTTGC